TACTTGGGTTAAAAAAAAAAAAAAAAAAAAAAAAAAAAAAAAAAAAAAAAAAAAAAAAAAGACTACAAAATGGTGCACATCAAAACACAAGACAGGGAGGGCATCACCAGAATAATAAAAACAAGCAGGGAAAGGGATCCGTTTAGAAGCGAAGAAGAAGGGAGGTTTCGCCTCGGATTTGTCTGGGATGCCACGAGTGGGGAGGAAGAAGAGAAAGTTCCCCGAGATGTGGGGCTGGGAACAGCAGCAGCTCCCTTCCCCTGCGAGAAATACCCCGCTCAGAGGCAAGGATAGGGGAGAAAGGAGGAAAAGTTGGAAGGCACGGAAAGGGAAGGAAAAGGCGAGTTGCGGGGAGGCTACTATCCAGGAAGAAAGCGGAGGGAGGGGCGAGGCGAGACAGACAGCGATGGAGGGGAACCAGAGGGGCATGGGAGAGTTGGCTGCTCCAGGCAGGGCCTACTCCGAGGGCTCATCCAGCAGAAGCTCTGCTAAAAATGGCTGCTTTGCTTCCACTGCCCCTTCCCCCTCCCCCAGAGCTCCGAGCCCTTCCCTCGGTGGCCCCGGGCGTGTGTGCGCCGGGGGCCGACACTCACCAGGCAGAAGAGGTTGGAATGGCAATCCTCCAGGCTGGCCCCGTTCGGCACGAAGCAGGAACTCATCCTCACAGCCACAACCCACACGCCATTATCCCACAGCCTCCGACAAGAAAGAAAGAGACAGACAGAGAGAGAGAGAGAGAGAGGGAGAGAGGGAGAGACAGACAGCGAGAGGGAAAGGGGGAGGGGGGCTCTGCACACGCACAAATAATAATACAATTAAATAAGGGATTTACAGACACACGCACGAGAAATAGTGGCAGGGGGAATAACCCGCGAGGAGAGACAGAGAGGTGTGGGAGAGGGGGGTAAAAATATAATAAAAAAAATAAAAATTAAAAAAAAATAAAGATGAACTCAGAGCGTTTTCTCGTCTTCTGGAGCTCAATCGGGGGTGTAAAGCCGCCGTGGAAGGGGAGAACAGAAAGAGGGAGGTGGTAAGTAATCCAACGACGGGAGATTAAGATCAAAATCCTCCCTGTTCCTCTTGTCTTCTCGTTCGCATAAGGAGGGGAGGAGAGGAGGTAAGGTGAAGGGGTAATTGATCCAACAAGAGAATAAAAATGGGGTAATTAATCCAGGGGGCTAGGGGTAAAAATCAGTTGACATCCCTCCTTCCTCTCTTCTCAGATGCCAAGCAAGAGAAGCAGGAAAAAATAAATAATCCAGCGGGGGCAATTAATCCAGAACCCCCCCTCCTCTTCCTCCTGTTCCTTTAGTCATTAGATGAGAAAGGGGTAAATTGTGGAATGACTGGGAAGGATTGGCCGTGGGAGAGAGAAAAATCCAGGCTCGTCTCTTCGGAGTCCGAGGGCAACAGGGTGTGGGGGGGTCAGATTCTTCTCCCCTGCTCCAAAAATATTCCAAATAAATTAAAATTTAAAATCATAAAAACAAACTTCAGGGGCCAGAAGCAAGGCCAGTCTGAAGAATTCGTAAATGCAGAGCAAGAAAAATTTCCGGGGGTGTACCCCAAAAAAACATCTGCGGGGGCAGGGGAGGGGGGAAGGTATTCCTTGAGAGAGAAAGGCCGCAAAAGTCTCCTTAGCAGCCCAGCGGGGGATTAAATTCCCGTGTGGAAACCCCCCCTCCCCAAAACGAAATACTCTTCGCAGCGAGGGCGAAACCAAAATATCCTCCGTTGGGTAAAAATTCCTTCCGTGGGGAAAGGAGGGAGGGGGAGAGGGGTGGAAGGAGGAAATTGCGGGTGACCCTCGAAGTCTCTTCGGGGAAGGATGGAGGAGTCTCCGGGAGGCCGATCCCCAGCCTTTTCGGGGGAGGAGGACGCGGTAAATCGCAGAGTGTCTTCGGGGAGCCTGGTCCCCACCAGCTGTCCTCGGGGGCCGAGGGACCCCGCAAAGTCTCTTCAAGGGAGCTCGGACCCCGCCGAGTCACCGCGGGGAGGGCGAAGCGACCCCCGCCAGACCCCTGGGCACGGGGGGGCGGCGAGGCGGGGAGGGACCAGCTCAGCTGCGAGGCCGGTCCTTT